AGACCTGTGAGGGTCAGAGCTGTGAGGGTCAGACCTGTGAGGGTCAGAGCTGTGAGGGTCAGAGCTGTGAGGGTCAGAGCTGTGAGGGTCAGATCTGTGAGGGTCAGAGCTGTGAAGGTCAGAGCTGTGAGGGTCAGAGCTGTGAGGGTCAGAGCTGTGAGGATCAGATCTGTGAGGGTCAGAGCTGTGAAGGTCAGAGCTGTGAGGGTCAGAGCTGTGAGGGTCAGAGCTGTGAGGGTCAGAGCTAGCTGAGGGTCAGAGCTGTGAGGGTCAGAGCTGTGAAGGTCAGAGCTGTGAGGGTCAGAGCTAGCTGAGGGACCGCACATTTTCACGTCAAGTTTAAGTTCCATAAATCACAACCTTTGTGTAAAAAGTGGTGTACGCAAGTTTCTGGGCTCGTTTAGTGCAACACAAGCTTTATAAATCAGACCCCTGAACTGTAGCTGGAAGGGTAAAGTAATGTTTCAAGACATTTATTTTGAAAACCAGATGCTGCAGAGTTACTTCCTGTAGTTACAGGTTACCTGTTAAACAGTTAAAACTGCAGATTATTAATCTGTAATATCTGAAGCAGTAAAGGTTGAATCTGTTGTAGAAACCTGGTTCACGCACGACAAGTTTTCTGTAACTAAAACCCGTCTGACTCTCTGCAGTCGGTCAGAACCTTCCTCCGGGGATGGCTCACCCGAAGAGGAGTCAGACCACCACGGGGGACAACAGCTCCAAAGACGAGGTCCAGCTCCGGAAGCCCGGCGGCCCCCCCTCCAGCCCCCTGCTGGGCAACGCCAACAACCCCAACAAGGCCGACATCCCCGACCGGAGGAAAGGAGCCACCACCGGTCCCAGCGTGAGTTCCCTGGTCTGCTGGTGGACCGGGTCAGTCCAGGTGCTGGTGTTGACCCAGTTTCTCCTCTGTTTGGCAGAATAACTCAGCGTCTGCAGGTATGACCCGCAGGAACACGTACGTCTGCAGCGACAGGAACAACACGGACCGCCTGTCCGTCATCCCCAACGGGAAGGAGAACAGGTGAGTGTCAGCCGGGGGTCCGCCTCAGAGGGTCTCCTCTTCCTCCTCCTCTTCACTCTGTTTTTATCTCTGATTTCTTTCATTTCCCCTCGTTGGGGCACGAGCAGCATGACTGAGATGGCGTGTGCCACTAGCCCCTCCTCCTTTGCGGCTGGCGCCTTCGGTGCCTCGTCCGGTTCTGAGCGGCAGAGGTATCAAACCGTCGACCCTCTGTACGCCCGTCAGGCGGGCTGGGTCTTACTGCCCCGCTCCTACTACGCTCTGGACCGCTGCTCGGCCAAGTAAGGGGGCAGGGCCTCCCAGCCCCACCTGTCTACCTGGTGTCTCCGCCCTCCTTTAGCCCCGCCCTCACCTGCTGCCTCTCACCGTGTAACCCTGCAGCTAACCGCTTCACACCCGGACCACAGCAGGAGCTTTGGTTTCTGCTCACATTCATGTTGAACCAGATCAGGTCAAATGACAGGAGCAGGGCTCTGCAAGCTGTGGCTCCGGGGCCACACGTGGTCCTTCAGCTCCTCGAAGTGGCCATTTTCTGAAAAAAATATAATAAACTCCTCTAAAGTTGACCTGAGTAATGTATAATTAAAGATTGAGGTCCACATGATTTGTGACCCATCACATCGAAATGAGGATTAACTCAAACTTGGTCAAAATGACGTCACATTTTCAGATTCCTGCTTTAAAAGCTACGTTTTGATACTTAGATCATCCAGATATCAATATTTTATATTAATAATTTATTCATTTTGATTAAAAACAAAAATTTCAATACAAAATAAAGAAACACAAATCTTATAAAATGAAAGGAAGCAGAAGAAGAAGAAAAAAATCTTATAATATCTGCCCCTATATCATTTAGTAGATCCAGAGATATTTAATTTGTCTTGTTGGTTACAATAATACATAAATATTTGGTCTAAACCCTAATTTTATGTCATTTTAATGAGAATTTTTTTGTCATTTGAAGAAAAGAAACCTCAGATTGTAACTGAATATTGAGATTTCCCAGCTGGAAAGAAACCGAAGCTTTGACAGCTCACAGGGAAAATCTCAACATTTTAAATAAAGTTTTTGATTTAAAGATTTTGATTTTTCCTCAAAATCAGGTTTTTCGTTGCTAATGCTCAAAAAAGTGCTTCAAAAAAATTTTTTTAGGATAATATTTCAGACAGTTCATTGAAATGATACATTGATAACACAATTATTTGTTATATTTTGACAATCAAAACACTAAATCTGCCTATTTCTCCATATTCAACTTTCAGACGCAATCCTGGTTTCGATGTGATGGGTCACATATTTTTCTTTCCTCAATCCAGAGAATCTCCTGCTGAAATAACAAACAGCTCCGGTGTGGCCTCCATCCTCTGACCCCTGACCTCTGACCTCTGACCCCCGGTCTGCTGAGGGACAGCTCCCCCTGCTGTCCCAGCATTCTCCATTCATGCTTCTGTCTAACCGGGCAGAACCAGAACTCACTCTGTTCATATGACACCTCCGTGCTTTGGTCCTCAGGGTGGGAAATCTGTTCATAATCTGGATTTAATCTGGATATAATCTGGATTATCTCCAGCTGCCGGATGGAGGTGGAAATCTGTTTTAATCTTCCTGATTTTAATTCAAACAGATCTTCTTTGTTTCCTCAGCTGCAGCTTCTATTATTTCAACTTTATTTTGAAAATCCCGGGAAATAAAATAAACAAAAACATGAATGAAATGAATTAAAATCAATATTTTTAAATTAAAAACTGAGAAATTTACATTTTCTGTGAAAACGGCAGTGAGTCCCGAAAAACTGCTGAAAGAGTTCAGGAGTAAAAATGCTAAAAACTGAGCCGAAAGCTAAACTTTGCAAAACCACGCTAATGTTAAGCTAATGTTAAGCTAATGTTATTAAAACAGAAGTTTCAACTTTGAGCTACAAAGCAGCTCTAACAGCGCTAAAAGCTAAAACTAGCAGCCAGAAGCTAAACTTCACTTAACTTTTTTTCCTTTTGACTGAATTGAACAGTTCTTCGTGTTTGTCTGTTTTTAGGAAAATATTTGTTAAAAATTTAATCTGATCTTAAAGATTCCAACTAAAAACTGCAAAAATTCTATTTTTCTGATCAAATTAGTTTTTATTTCTTTATATTTCATTAT